AGTGGGGGGAGAAATAGACTGTGCACTAACCTGCTCTGTGTTCCTTCGGGGTGGGGTGTGTGTGTGTGTGTGTGTGTGTGTGTGTGTGTGTGTGTGTGTGTGTGTGTGTGTGTAAGGGAGGGATTGCCGGTAGCACAGCCTTTCTGGAAGGTGGCACATTCACCAGCTCTTGCTTCTCATTTTTACTTAGGGTAAGCTGATGGCTGATCTTCTTGCATATATATCTATATCTATATAGATATAATATATATATGCAGATCAAGAAGCGTATATGCATAGATATATAAGCTTTTTGATCTGTATACACACACACTCCCAAAAAGCTTAGATAGATAGATATCTACATCTATCTATAAATAGATAGATCTATATCTACATCTATAGATTAGATAGAGCTATATCTATATCTACATCGATAGATAGATAGATAGATAGATAGATAGATAGATAGATAGATAGGAGTTTTTGGGGGGCTGATCTCTGCAAGATCTGTCGACGTGGTGGGGGGAAGATTTAATCTGGAGGGATCTCTAAAATCTAGCAAGGGGGAGTTTTAATCTGGAGACATCTCTAAAATCTAGCGGGGGTGGGGTGGGGGGGCTGGGAATCATTAGAAATAAATCAGTGGGGGTTTATTCTTTTATGTCTCCTTCCTCATTCCTGTCTCCTTTTTTTTGGAGCGGGGTGGCAAGGGTTTCCGGCTGCTTCCCCATCCTGACCCCGTTGCTCCCAGTCCGGAGGCTCACAAACAACAACACACGCACACACACGCACACACACACAAATTGGATACATTTTGAAAAAGCTTTTGGTTCCTTATCCGGGGACTAACCTGGCGGGTGTGATTGGCCCAGGCGGTCACATGGTAAAACTAACTTTACGGGGTCGCCAGCTAGTAGGAGGGCTTTATGGAGCAGAAAAACGACAAAGCGAGAAAAATTATTTTCCACTCCAGAAATTAATGATCATGAGCTCCTATTTGATGGACTCTAACTACATCGATCCGAAATTTCCTCCATGCGAGGAATATTCGCAAAATAATTACATCCCAGACCACAGTCCGGAATATTACAACCGGACCAGGGAGTCCAGCTTCCAGCATCACCATCAAGACTTGTACCCACCAGCACGACCCAGCTACCCCGAGCGCCAGTACAGTTGTGCCAGTATCCAAGCTCCGGGCAATCCTGCTGCTCACCAAAGGGGACATGGGCCAACTCCAGGAGGCCATCACCTCTCAGAGAAACCGCAGCAGCTCTGTGAGCAGGCTGCTCTTTCCACCTCCTCCACCTCTCCTTCCCCAGCCCCACCATCCTGCAACCAGGTAAACCCCGAGCATCCTAGCAGCACAGCTTCTAAGCAGCCCATAGTCTATCCATGGATGAAAAAAATCCACGTCAGTTCTGGTAGGCAACTTTTTTTTCTCTCTCTCTGTCTCTCCACTCCTGTCTTCCTCTTCTTTTCACACCATGCTCCCCCCCCCCCCCCCTTCTCTCTCTCTCTCTCTCTCTCTCTTTTTTTTTTATTTCCTTCCCTTCCATGAGAGTCTTTGGGTTAGCACAATTGAACTGGATTTACGACTCCGAATGGGTAATTACACCCACCATAAATTTTATAGCCCAAGCCAGTCTGGGCAGCCTCAACCATGTGCTTCATTCTGTTATGTATGTGTGAAACTCCTAAAGCTTTGTAACGGGTGCATAAATAATTCAGTCTTTTGAGCCAGGGAAACCCCTTCTTATTAGAATAGAAAGTCTTGAGCTGCCAAAAGTTCTTTATAAGCCATTTAGCTGATTACTTTTTCCTGAGCTCCTCAGGCTCCATCTCTCTCCCCCTCTCCCTCCGTCTCCTTCTTTCTCCCCCTCTCTCTCTCTCTCTCTCTCTATTCATGCTAATCTTTGCTTTTCCAGTGAATCCCAATTACAATGGAGGCGAGCCCAAGCGCTCCAGGACTGCGTATACAAGGCAGCAGGTCTTGGAATTGGAAAAGGAGTTTCACTATAACAGGTACCTGACCAGGCGAAGGCGCATCGAGATCGCCCACTCTTTGTGTCTCTCGGAAAGGCAGATCAAAATCTGGTTTCAGAACAGGCGGATGAAATGGAAAAAGGACCATCGGCTGCCCAATACCAAAGTCCGCTCCTCCGCGCCAGCGAACCCGGCTCCCAGCACCATCGCGGCTGCTAGCACGGCTCCCAGTGAGGACCTCTCCCCCCCCGCAGCCCCGGAGCAGCGAGCAGACGATATCACAAGGTTATAAACCAACCTCACACCCCCCCCTCCAGACTGACTCTTGATTATTTATAGAATCTAATATATATACATATATATATATATTTTGGTTCTCTTCCCCCCCTTGTAGTTTCCCTGTGCGTATATATATATATCTATCTATATATATATATAAAAAAAAAAAGGAAAAAAAATACAATGAAGTCTACAAGACCAAGGCTTTAGATGCATGTGATATAGCATGGAGCCAGGTGGCAATTACCTGCAGGTTTTTTAACGCCGTTTCAGGGTTTTATTTATTTTTTAAGGGGTGGGGTTGGGTGGGGATGGGAGGGAGGTGTATGTGTTCTGTTCGATGAATTTAACGAGCAAATAATAATAATTGCAAAAAAAAGAAGAAAAAAAGCAAGAAAAAAAAAAAACGCAAGCGAAAAGAATGTAGGTCTTTTGCCCTCTGCATTACAAATGCACAATGGTCTAAGGAGAATGGGGGAAAAAATGGAGCTTTGAAGTTCTTAGGGGGGGTTGGTTTTTTTTGTTTTGCTCTGTGAAGGAGGAAAAGCTAAAATAATCATGATTAAAAATACAAAAGAAGAAGAAAGCAGCACAGAACCAGGGTGAGCGAAGAAGTGGTTGGAAAAAAAACTGAGAAGGGGGATAATAAAAGGAAGAGATAGTGGCATATTTAAAAGAGAGAGAGAAAGAGAGAGAGAGAAAGGTTTAAAAAGTCAGTAGCTAGTTTTTTTGTCGTGGTTATTTGTGTTTTTGGACTGATTTTCCATGATCATTGTAAACTTGCAATAAAGAGTTTTAGTGTGTATGTGAAAGTCCAAGTGTTCAATAAATCAGTGAGTGTGAATTAGTTTTACTTTAATGTCTGGTGGTTTATTTAACTCTCCAACATTTCCCTCCTCCCCTTCCCAAAAAAATAAAAACAATATTTAAAAAAAAAAAAAAAAAAAAAAGCAACCCAAACCAAGCCTGGGATTCTTTGCTGTGAATTCCAGGAGCCCCGAGTTACTGCTTAAGTTCAGTCTAAGCAAACATATAAAGATAACTTTGTCCTCCAGATTTTGTGACATCACAACGTGGTCAAAGGTTTCAGGTTCTCCCAAGAAAATTTATACCTAGGAGGAAACAAAATAATCCTCTCATTTTACGAAAGGGAAGTGCTGTGTGTTGGGTCTAGAATAGCAGTCCTCTTGTCTTTCATTCCCTTCATTTCATATGGAGAGTGCCTGATTTTTTTTTTCTCACTATTTTAATTTTTATTACATGTCTGTTGTCTTTTTGTGGTCTTGTGTGTTAATGCGTTTTATCCATAAAAAAGCCAATAGCTTTATTCTTTTTCTATTTTTTTTTTTAAGAGCAGGGAAAAAAAGGTTGGGGAAAAGGAGGAGTGGGGTGGGGGAATGCCTCTTTGCTCTTCTTTGAATAAATGATGCAGGTTGTGGATATTTTAGAGAGAAACATTACCCCCATGCCCCTCTCCATAGAACCCCCCCCCAAGAACTATTTGTTTACTTTCCTGGAAGGCGGAAAGAGCTGCAGGACAAGTTGTACGAGGGGAAAACTTGGGTAGGCCCTGGTTTTGCAACTTCGCCTCCAGTCCCTTTTCAGAACTAGTATCCCAGTGTGAACTAACTTGGTGGGTGGGAGATTTGTAGTTAGGCCTGTTTAAAACATATTGAGTCGCTGCAGCACTTACCATTCTCCCAGTGTCTGCTCTGAGAGAGACAGGGGAAGCCAGCCTTTTTCTACCACTTATTTTGTGTGGTTTTGTTTTATTTTGTTTTATTTTATGACTGCAGTGAGTGAGCGAGTTCCTCTCTCAAAATTGAAGTGACCGGGAAAGAAATCTTGGGACCCAAACACACAGTGAGAGCTGGGGAAGAGAGAAAGAGATCCTGAGAGGGGAAGAGAGAGGTTCTGCTTATTGTTTGTAATAGAGAGTTGTTGTGCAGAGCTAATGAGCTCTTCACAT